AGGAATAACTATTTTGTATACCAAGAGTACTTTCCCATCCTGACTGGTTGTTGAATATAAATAATATTCTGGTGGTGCCCAATTATTTTTGTTGCAGTAATAATCCAAGTGCATTACTGCAGAATTAAAATGACTGGATTTTAAAGAATACATACTAATTGGAGTAAGCTTTGTCCCAGGAAAGAAAGGATAAGTGCATCTTTCAACTTCAGGGGGGCTTGGACTATGACCGTTGAGCCGAGCAGGGAGAGCTGGTGCCTTCCCTAGAGTTTTGGGGTGGTTCTCTTCTTTGTTAATATACACAATCAGGTTTTCAGGACTGGGGCTAATCTGACCATTAAGGTGTTGGCGCCCAGTGCTTTCTTTATTTACTGGTTTTGCAAGTGTTACCTCAATACTTGCTCCATCAATGCATTTCCCACTCATAACAGACATAGCAGCTACTGCATCTTCTCGGTTGAAAAAGTGAACAAAAGCATAATCTCTAAGTTTTTTTACTCGTTCAACTGCACCAGGTTTGAATTTATTGAATTCTCCTTTAATTGTTTCTTCTGTAGTTGAGATCATTAAATTTCTTACGAAGAGAACTTTAACTCTTTGCATAGTTTCCTCATCAACTTCTTTCTCCGGATCAGCCCAATCCACCTGAATGGTATGGCCCCAGAGTTGGAATGTACCTGCAAAAAAGAACATATTAATGTGACGATAATTAAAACAAAGAATGAAAGTATAAAATGTTAAGTAAATGTTTCTCCAAAGAAGTAGAAACTCAAGCACCTATCAATGTATCTGATTATTCATACAGAAGTTTCTACTAAAGGAAACTTATAACCAGAATTTATGGTGGAATTTAAGAGTCAAGATGACAAATATTTTGTTTTGTTTGTTTTGGTACCGGGGATCAAACTCGGGTCCTTACACTTGCGAGGCAGGTGGCGATGATGACAAATATAATTCAAGGATAGACCTTAAGTTAGACCTCAATTAAGTAAAATGCCCTTTGGATCTTTAGTAAACAGTAACTAATAACTCAAGGTATACACATTTGGTAAATGGTAAATTATCATAAATATGACTCAGAGGAAGAATTTCTTGTCTATAAGAATGACTTGTTCTACTTCCTCACTCAATTCTTTATTCTTCTTCAAGTAACATTACCTATTTTGTTAATAATGACCTAACCACTGAAGTAACTGTTATTTTTCTATATCTGTAAGATTAATATGAAAAAATTATCTTTAAAAGGACCAACTTACCTGGAATTAATTTCCTCCTAGCCATAGCAGCAGCTCTGTGAGACTCATACTTAACAAAAGCAAAACCACGATTTTTGGTCTTATCAGTTGCACTTGGATAAACAATGACATCTACAACTCCTTCTGTAACTTTCTTCATTTCATCCAAAATTTCTTCTTTCTTCTTTTCCTTGGGAATAGCTCCAATAAATAATCTACAATTATCCAAGCTCACACAGACACCAATAAACTTCCCTGGACGAATCTCATAATTATTAAGAATTCTAATGGCCAACTGGGCTTCTTCTTTCATAGTGTACATCACAAAAGCATAACCTCTATTTTCACCACTAAATTCCATCATAAGTCGAAATTCATATATCTTCCCAGCTCTTTCAAATACAGGAACTAACTCATCTTCATAAATATCACGAGGTATTTTTCCTACAAAAACTTCACAGCCTCTAGGTGGAGGTGGACCTTCCCAATCTGAAAGACAGAAATAGACAGGGCCAGGGATTTAGCTCAGTGGTTCTGCCGCCTGCCCCCGAAAGCACAAGGACGAGAGTTCAATTCCCAGTACCAGAAATAAATGAATAAATAAATAAACAAACAGACAGACATAAAAAAAATTCTAAAAAGATACTTATTATTGAATCATTTATCATTCAACAGATTTGCTGAATGTACCATGCACTATTCTAGGTGCTGGGATCAAAAGCCCGTTCTCTTATGACGCTTATATTCAACAGAGAAGGGATACAGTAAGTCAGTGGTAAGTGCTACCATGTGCTAGTCACAAAAGGGGTAATGTTTTCAGTGAGGTAGTCAAGTAAAGCTCTGAGCACAGAAGGTTTAAGTGGAGACCTAAATGAAATGAAGGAATGGGCTGTTAGGGTTCTCTGGGAAAAGCATTCAACAAAAGGAAAAAGCAAGAGGTTCATACATCAGAGCAAAAATGAGGCTAGAGATCTGTATGGCTCCAGCGTACTCAGAGTGGAGCAAAGTAATAAATGATGCAGCGACCACTGAGGTTAACTAGAAGCCAGAACTTTGTGTGTAACAAAGTCAACCAGAGGGTTCTGAGCAAAGGAATTATACCAGCTATTGGTAGAAATGTAAAAACATTTTATCTGTTGTCTTCCCCCCGCCCCCCCGCCCCCGGCCAGGTCCTGGGATGAAAACTCAGGACCTTGAGCTTGTGAGGCAGGTGTGGCGCCACTGAGCTAAGTCTCCAGCCCAAACATTTTATCTGTTTACCTGTTGAATCTGATTTTGTGGTATAACTACCACTCCTCGACTCACAGATCTTTCAACTTCCTCTCCAAGTGACCTTCTTTTTAATTCTAAGAGTATACTTAGGACAATGCCCTAATCCTGACTTCTTTCTCAATCCAAATTGATTTTCATCTTTTTCTTAAACCAAGAGCAGGATTGCAAAATTAGAAGGATAAAATGTGTAACATTTATAATCTACCTAAAAATGACTGCCGAGGTCTTAAAGCAGTTACAAGAAGAGAGTTATTTTTTAAGACACTTGTGGGGTATACACCTAATCCAAATGACTACTTTGAAATTTTAACTTAAAAGAAGATAAATAAATTCACACCTGGAGGAGGACCACCAAATTTCCTTTGTCCATTTTCTTGAACCATGTTGTAACCAGTCTTTTCCATCAAAGCGAGCAATGCTGCTTCATTTTGAATACCAGTTCGAACTTTACTGCATCCATTTGCTCCATCCATATTTTCTTCATTCATGGCTGCAGTTCCTAAAATAAACTGAAATAACAGTGTCAGCTTATGATACAGCACCTGGAATCTATGAAGCATTTCTCTGGGTTGCTCTTCCTCCCAACAGGAGAAACTGGAAACTGCTTTTAATGTTACTGACCAATTAAGCAGTACCTCTAGAAGGCCTAAGTTATAAGAAAGGGAGGCAAAAGTGGAAACAAAAAAGGAGCCAAAACAAAAATGGGAAGGCAGAAGTGAAAGAGAAGGAAGAAAAAAAGCAAGAGGAGTAACAAAACACATTGCCACCAAAGAACATATGATCACTGGCAAGGTTCAAATCATTTCATCTTACAAGCCTACAGGCCAAGTGAACCTTTGTGTGACTTCTACTTGTTAGATACATGTTCCCTAATGCCAATGTTGCTCATTTTGTCAGCAATGCTCAAGAACTTCACTAGATTTCAGAAACTGAACAGATCCTGGAATAAGTAAACAGAGCTTAAAATTACCCCCTTTTTTATGTGCCAGAAATTACTAAGGAAAGTAAGGAATACAATTACTGATCATCTGAGCAGAAACAGAGTATCTATGATTTCCAACCAGCAGCATCTTAAGAAACATTTGTTTGTTTTGTCTGTCTGAGACAGGATCTTGCTATGTAGTTCAAGCTGCTCTTGAACTCACTATGTAGCCCAGGTTAGCCTGGAGCTCTAGGCAGTCCTCCTGCCTCAGCATCCTGAATTACAGCAGTACACTACCATAGCTGGCTAAACTTACTGCTGTCACAGAATTGTAAACACACACACATAGTTCTAGGTTTGCTCTAAGGATTTCTGAAGGATACATCTGTGAGTGGAGTCATGATGGACTGTCAGCAGGACTGACGTGGGCTTGCACGAAGGTAGGTATATTGCATGTAGTTTAAGGCCTTTTTATAGAGTTTAATTCTACACCAGACAGGTCTTGGCCTTTATATGGGGGAGTCAGGATTCAAGAATCAAGAAGAGCTTTATTATCTTAGAAGGCAAAACTCTGGCCTGACCCCAGAAAGTAGAACTAAAGTCAAAGTTCCTCAGTGTATGTGAGTTGTGTTTCCTGGAGAACAAATGCTCATATTCTTGTCATTTTGAATGTTATTTTCTTTGTGGAAAAATATTCTGACCACAGGTTATACAACACACAGTTTTTCTGCTTAAATGTCAGTCACATGTTTATTGATAAGAGTAGGCACTTCCTGCATAGCATTCCATGATATATTAATTTTAGTCCCAGCAGAATCCACACATTTCTTCTGGGAAGATTAGAAATATAAATCTGTTGGTGGTGGTGTTGGTGGTGGTGTTGTTGTTTGAGACAGGCTCTCACTATGTAGTTCAGTCTGGCCTTGAACTCACTATGTAGTTCAGGCTGGTCTTGAACTTGTAGTGATCCTCCTGTCTCAGGCTACCCAGGGCTGGGATTACAGGTGTGCACCTTCCTAGAAATAAAAATCTAATACACAAACGTATCACGAGATGGGAGGGTAAGTGGTTATCCTTTATTAACTACAATAAAGCATTAAAGCATGGTTTTTAACCCAAAGAACCATTTGTTAGAATGTTAATATATGTGGAAAATTTTAAAGTAAATTTAAAAACCTTTAGTAAAAATCATGTATTGATTTTATGCATTCAGTTTTGCATAGATACACATATCCAGTTTTTTGGATGCTTGCTCATAACCCAAGTTTTATTCATTTATTTCAACTTTAGAAGAAAATACAGAATTAACAAAAAACCCCAGAGCCTTCATATGTTGGGAGAAAATTGCTACTACTTATTATTATAAAACAGGCTCCTTTTAAAAGATCCTGTGATCAGTCTTCTCACACTAGCAGACACCAGAGGTGTGCAGGACACTGTCATCCCTCAGAGGGTAGCAGGCGGGCTCCTCCCTCACTGCAGTGCAGGTGTCAGCTTCGCAGCACGCCCACCTCCCTGCCTCATGATTCAGCTGTTTGAGCTGGGGTGCAGTGTCCTAGCCCCTTAAGTGCAAAGCTCAGTCCTCGGCACCTGGGAGAAGGGGGGGATCCAAGTTCCTAGTTCCACAAAATTACGAATTATGGTAGGATATGCCATTAGAGTTATTCACAAGTTACATTAAAATTCCTAATGACTAAGGTCCACTTGTCTGTCAAGATGAGATTACTAGTTGAAACTCATATTGATTTTTAAAGCAGTTTTAGAAGCACACAAAGCCTGTGTAAGCGTGTTTAACATTTCTTTTTTTTCCCCCTTGCCCCGTGAGGTTCTTTGGCTTTAATGTTAAATCTGTATATTTTTGGTTTCATGGTACTTACAGATGAACAGGTTTCCATTTCCAAACTTGCCTGTACTTTTTGTATGGTTCAGAATATCTGACCATTAGATTTATGTTAAGGTATCATTTGTAGAACCACAAAGAGCTGCTTGCTTTTGCTGAATCAACTTAGAAATCAATTTACCAATCTGGTCTTGATGGCAATACATATAAAATGAAAAAACAAGTAGATCATGCCTTGAGGATGTTCTGAAGTTAATGTGACTGCTCACTGGAATGTCAATTTAAAATAGTCCCCCAGTAGTGCAACCGAATGTGTGTCTGTATAAGCAACAGCATGGGTAGGAAGGGCCCACTGGTTTATAGCCCAGGTTGTCCATCTACAGTGAAGGGAGGACATGCTTGGCTGGTGAGGGTTTTCAAGGATGAATAGTTGTCTCGTTTCTCTGAAGTACAGTTATAAAGCTTCCTTAGTTCTTCACTGTGGAACTGAAACATTCTGTAAAATGCAGTTTTAGGGGTCCTGGTAGGTGCAGCTGCTGGCAAAGTATGGTGTTTCCACGGAGAAAGGCAGAGCCTTCCCCATTACAAGAGCACTGTCATTTCCTCCCTGTTTGGGTTGGGCAGACCCTTGTTTCTACGAAGCTGAATTAGGATTTGGTACCACATAGCACGGCCACATTATATCATAAAAATGTGTTAAATGATAAAGCATACTTCAGCCACTGAAGACACAAAAATTAAAACTCTTAAATCTGAGGATCATAAACAAATGGGCAGCATCATTTCTGTATGAAATGAGATCAGTATACAATTAATACACTTAATTTTATACATTCCCTGCAACCAGTTTCAAATTACATTTACAGAGTGTGTTTGTATTAATTTAAATCAGTGCTTTTAGCCTAAAGAAAGTCTTTTTTACAAACATATGGGTTTCCAGCTTTATTACCTAAGTATAATGCACTTAACACCAGATACCAACCTGTAAAGTAGTACTACTGGATCCTTTCCTGAGCCTGTCAGGGACCTGAAACTTCTTACACTTTATCAGGTTATTTGTGAAAAAGAAAAAGAAAAAAGAAAACAAAAACCAAACAATTGTAAAACATTTCAAAATACTGCAAACACCTTGTTAAAATGCAACCATTTGATAATGAAAGCACGGACCTTTAGTTTTACCTAACTGTTGCACTGAATATAAATAATATAAAGTGAACTGTAAACAGATATTTATTTTCCATTTATTGCTTAGCACAGAAAAAGGACTATGCTTAGTGTTAGAGGGCTGAGCAAGCAGACGCACTTCAGATGCAGGGTGAGAGGCAGAAGCACCCTAGCGTTAGCACAGTGTGAACGCAGGCTGCTGAGTAGCAAGGGAGGCACTTTGATCTCATCAGAGTATGTCAAGCAGAGCTTTTATACTCATGACTTCAGTACACCAAGTACTACAATCACCTTTCTTTTATTGTACATGAAATGTAATAACATACAGTTTTGGTGCTTAACAATATTCCTTTTTTAAAAAAATAAAGGATTTTTATTTGAATTTTAAAAATAAAAAATAAAAATGGGACTATCAATACAAGTTACCACATGGGTGCTTTTAAGATCGAATGAAACAATGTATGTAAAAAGCTTGTTAAAATTCAAGTAAGGTTAGTTTTGATAAATATAAAACCAGCAGTGCATCTTAAATTTTTACACACCCACATAGCTGACACAGCAGCACATTTCTGTACACTTTTCATTTTCTCCAAAGTGAGGGATGAGTGTTACACAGTAAAGGCATGCCTTGGAAAGAGTACCGTCTGTCCAGTAGGTGCTGCACGAGGTGGGACGGGTAAGGAGAACTGACACTGTAAACACCCCGCTGGTACTCAGAGCACTGTGGCTGTGGAACCGCCCTTCCTGACTCCTAGCCTTCCTTTTCACTTAGCATCTGTATTTTAGTTAAGTTACCTCCGCTCCACTGCCCCTCCATTTCCTCATCTGTGATACACACACAATGACACTATCTATTCTCACGAAGTTTTCGTGAAGAATCAGTTGATGTCAAAGTAAAAAGCACTTAAGAGTCACTTTTGGTCTTAATAAAAATTTATTGTTTACTACTAATTTTATGCATCTATTGGAATCTGTCAAACCACTAGACATCTGCAAATAACAATAGCTTAGAATTCAGTTACTCACTGCATCTGCAGAGTAACTGGTTTCAAAACAAAACTGTGATTATCCCAGAGAGAAAGAGGATGACAATAATGATTGTCTTGTCCCATTTACTTTAACGGGTCTACTATAAATATTAGTATGTTTCTACACATTACTGCTAATCTCTACCATTTCAGGAAGCATCTACCTTGCTTAAAACAAAAACTATTATCTCCATTTAGATAAAGAAACAGATTTAGAGAAACTATACCCAAGACTACAGAACCAAAAAGTGGTATAAACAAATTCAAACACCAGGTCTGTTTGATCTCAAACACCCTCTCTCCCACGAAAATTGTCTGGCACACTTCCCTCAACTTTACCTGAAAGAACAAGGAAGCATCCAAAGTTGACTTTTATGTAAACAGAATTACCAGAAACTATAAACTGATAAATACAGTGACCTCTAAGTCCCTCTGGGTGATGAGTAGCACAGGATGCACAGGACACACACACACACACACACACACACACACACAAACACACACACACACACCACACTCTTCTAGTCTTCAAAGTTGCTTCCAAGCTAGTGTTAC